TTGTTCCTTAATTAAGTGAAACATCATAATTACGCCCAAGGAAATCAATCTAAAAACAAAATAAAACAAGGCGCATAGAGTTCATCAATAACTTTACCGTTAATAAATCTTTGGGTAAATTGCACCAAATCCCCTCATGTAATATAAAACATGCATATAATCCCCTTGTGTTACTGAAAAAGCATCAAACTCCCTTCAGTTTTGATAAATCCTGCTCACCTTCCCCATATGCAGATAAAATTCAAGGATTAGTTCTACTTTATAAATATCCTCTTATACCCCATTGAATTACGACACTATTACACCGCCCACACCATTAAGGGTCTGTTTGCAACAGCTTCTGCTTTTAAAAAAGTGCTTTTTTTAGTGAAATGTGGAAAAATGATTAAATAAAAGTTGATAGTGTTTGAGAAAAAAAAAGATTTTGAAAAGTAAAAGTAGGTAATGTTTGGTAAAATAAGTGCTTTTAGTGTAATAGAAAAAGTTAAAACACTTTTGACGCGGAAGCCGAGAAAAATAAAAGTTGTAGTGTTTGGGAAAATAAGTGCTTTTTTAAAGCCAAAAGCTGATAAGTGTTTTTTTAAAAGGAGTTGCAAACCAACCCTAACACCCACCCACACCATGGATTAAAACCCACCCACACCATTCAACCACCCAAAAAGTCATCGTGAGCAAGAATAATAACATAGGCTAGGGTAGCAATTAGCAAATAATTTTTTTAATTTCCCCATTCTTCTAGTCATTCTTCAACTCCATAGGTTACTTAATTATGATGTTTTCTTTTGAACCGTTTTCAGTCCTAGAACAGATCAAACCAGACTAGATCAGACCATATTAGACTAGATCAGATCAGACCAGATCAGACTTCTGTAATTATAAAATGCATAGAGATCAGATATTTATCAGACTAGACTAGATCAGTTCAGACCAGACCAGACCAGCAAGTTCATTTAAGAGAAAACATCCTTAATATATGTGATGGAAAATAAGAGCAGCTTGCTACTAAGGATGTTTTCTTTTGGACTGTTTTTAGTCCCAGACCAGACCAGACCTGACCAGATCAGACCAAACTTGACTTCCGTAGTTATAAAATATACAGAGACCAAACGTTGACCAGCCCAGACCAGCAAATTTCAATCCAAAAGAAAACATCCTAATTCTAATATGCTAGTAACTTACGGGTATGTGCATGATTTTGTGCAAATATTGAATCTTATAAATTCAGCACAACTACATATGTGTGATGCTAATTTTGTGTGCCGTTTCTATTTTATTTATCTGATTTGAGTTGTATTTGTGGTTAATTTATGAAGTTTTTCTTGTAGTTATAACTTAGGGTTATATTTGGGTGTGTGTATTACTACTTTAAACAACTTTGATGTCATTAGGAATAGTTCTATACTATCTATATTCCAAAGTTAGATTATATTGGTTGATAATTCTAGGTTTAATTACTAAATTTTATTAGTGTATTTCAGCTGATGTTTTTTATTTGTGAGTTTTGAAATGAAGTTGATGCTATGTACTCAAACTTGAGATTCACTACACAAAAAAGTTGATAATCACTAGACAAAAAAACTTGATTCACTAGTTCTGTTTATCAGTGCAGGTTAAACTAAATTTAGATCAACTAGTTATGTTTTATCATGTTTTAAAACACTATACATAATGAACCTATCTTATTTTTTTATGTTTAAAATTGGTCAATGCGAAAACAAATAATTGTCTAAAGGAACAATATGTAATCATGATGAATTTACCACAGTCTGTTTATTAGAGTAATTATTTGATCTTAAAGAAAAACTAATATTGTACTTCCTCCGTTTTTAAATAAATGCAACGGTCAATATTTCACACTTGTCGAGACACTACTTTGACCATTAATATATATAATTTTGAAAATTTACAATGAGATAAATTAACAATATTTTTTTCATAAAAAATATTAATACATTAATAAATAAAACGTAGTCAAAGTAGAACATGTAAATAGTGTAAAATTCAACATGTTGTATTTATTTAAGAACGAAGATAGTACTTAATTTTGGATTTGCATCCTAAATTTTATATGCTCTATCATACATTACATAGATTGAAATAATATTAATCTCAAGTGTAAGAAGATGCACACAAAAAACGAGAGCTATCCATTTCATGCAGAAGGCCGGGTAAAATTGCCATTTACTTAGCTCAAGAAGCTGAAATTAGATATAAAAAAAATCACACCAAATAGCAAGTGTATGACACGCACATTATACTCCCCCCATTTTAAGGGATTTTGTGCAAGATTCTACAAAACATAAATGGGTTTTGTGTATTTTTCAAAACACAAAGGGATGATGTGCATGATTTATATAACATGGGGGTGTTTGGTGTATTTTACCCATAAATCTTTGCAGGTACTTTGGCGCAAAAAATACGTCAAACCAAAATAAATACTTTGGATATATACAAAGCCAAACAGAATCTAGATGCATACTTAGCTGGTAGCATGCGCGAACCAATTAAAAGCTAGCCTTTGTTAAGACTTAAAAGTGGGGGGAATCTTAAGAGGTCTTTGGTGACATGTTTTTCATAATAGAACCAGGGATGGATTTAGGGGGGGCGGGAGGGCGACCGCCCCCCTTGGATTTTCAAAATTTTTTACCATATATGTAATATTTTCATAGAACTTTCATAATTTAATTAGATTCGCCCCCCTTAGCTTTTAATTTTCAAAATTAATATATAGTCTTACATTATGTAATACTTAATTGGAGATTTGAAAGAAATAACATCTAAAATAATTTACATAACTTAAACAAATAAACAATAGAATAACTCGTTGTTTAAGATTTGGGATACTTATTATATAAAAATTCCTAGTTTTGTAATGTTTAATTATCTTTATTAGATAACAAGTACTGGATTTTGTAAAATATATATCAAATGATATTAAATACCAGACACACTAATTACACAGTATTTAGATCACGTGAAATGATCCAAAATATAAATGTTTATTGAAATTAAAGTACATAATTTGTTTACTTCTTGCTTTCTAAAAAATAATTTATTGCATAGATAATAAACTTTAAATTATTATAGCATTAATACAAATATTAAAATATAATATGTACCATATATATAATATGTGGTGCATATTATCTAAAAATAATAATCCCATAAATATTACTATTGTAATATTAAGAAAACTTCACATGAGTCATGACTCACGAACACCCTCCTTGGTAGACAAAAATTACAATTCAATAACCGATTCATGAGATTAAACAATGTAGAAGTTATTTAAAATGTATTGGTTGATGTCTTTGTCATTGTCTAAACTTAGAATGTAATAGATTTAAATATCGTTGGGAATGTTTATGTATTAATGTCATTTTTTGAATTAAAATAGCCGCATAGCCCTACAACACCGAAAAAATTCGCCCCACTACACTATGGAAAAAAAATTCGCGCCGCTACATTAATGAAAAATTTTTCGCCATCTACACTAACGAAAAATTTCGCCCCCCTTGAGTCAATTTCCTGGATCCGTCCCTGAATAGAACATGTAAAGTATAGTAGAAAACAGAGAAATGGATAACTCAAAAATTCAAAATCTGAACCCAAAGGCCATAATAATAAAAAAAGCAAAGGCATTACATTCAAAATAATAATATTGTCCTTGTGTGTAATCAAGCTTACAAAGCATTCTATTATTCTAAGGGTTAGTTTGCAACTGCTTTTAAAAAAGCACTTCTCAGCTTTTGGCTTTAAAAAAGCACTCATTTTCTCAAACACTACAACTTTTATTTTTCTCGGCTTCCGCGTCAAAAGTGCTTTTACTTTTTCTATTACACAAAAAGTACTTATTTTACCAAACACTACCCACTTTTACTTTTCAAAATCACTTTTTTCTCAAACACTATCAACTTTTATTTAATCACTTCTCCCCATTTCATTAAAAAAAGCACTTTTTTAAAAGCAGAAGCTGTTGCAAACAGACCCTAACGTGGTGCGATGCTTCAAACCATGAGTATAATATGCAATACAATTAAGGACGGCCTAAAGAAATTACTAGCTCGTTCGGTAACATTGGAATTAGCTGAATCGGCTGATTTTGCTTAAATATATGAGTTTCTGACTGAACTGGTTGGATTGACTGCTTCTGCCAAAATTATATTTAAAATATTTTTTGTTAATAAAATAAAGAAAAAAATGATGTGAAAAAGTAGTTAAAATGATCATCTACGGTAACTTCGGGCAATACAGTCATAAAAGTTAATTCAACCTTACCTTTTTTATTATCACACAGGTTACGTTACTCAGTAAGCAAAATCAGAAGTTATGTGTTAGTTGAAAAAGGTGGCTCATAAGGTTGATAAGCCAAAAAAAATCGGGTCACCAAACAGGTCTCATTAACTAGAAAAAGCAAATTTAAAAACAAATTCAACCTTTGTTATTTAACAAGTGCAACACGTTGAATTGTACATATTGTTAGATACATAGTACTTATTAAACAATAAGTAAAAACAATTAAGGTTGATACTACCTTCGTTCTTAAATAAGTGTAACATATTGAATTTTACACTATTCACATTTCTACTTTGATTGTATTTTATTTATTAATAATTTTTTTTAAAAAAGTATTGTTAAATTTGCCTCGTTATAAATTTTCATAATTTGAGTCTTTTAAATTTTTTACTAATAGAGAATTATATAGAGTATATATTAATGATAATGAAAAAATTGCGCATCGACAAATGTGAAAAGTTGAACATTGCACTTATTTAAGAATGAATGAGGAAGTATAACTCAATGTATATAAACGTGTATGCAATCAAACAAGACTCCCTCGAATTCTTTTGAGTTATGCTTTGTGTACACGCTAGCTGTACACGGTATTTTACACGCCGATCAAATTATCTATAAATAAACAAATTGTTTTCATTTTGTGAGATAATTATTGGGCTTTTGACCTGAATATTAGTAATAAAGGGTCAATTAACAAAAAAGTGGCCACTTTTTAAAAAATCCAGAAATGTAACTAATTATTAATAAGCTTACTTATTTACCTATCTTCTACAGTATTATGCTACAGTGAACACTACAAATACACATATAAAGTGACATCCAGCACCACCTCCCACCACCTCTGACCGGTGACCATCGCCGGCCGGAGACCGTCGCCGGCCATAGTGACAATGACATAGTGACACCGCCGCAGTGACGCCGCCGCAGTGACACCGCCGCAGTGACGCCACCGCAGTGATGCTGCCATAGTGACATGCTGCCTACAGTCAAAGACACCTCCACGTACCATGACCTGCCGCCGCCGCCGCCAGTCACTATCTCAGTGACTCCGGCCAAAAGTGACATCGGTCAAACTCCGGCCAAAGTGACATTCCACCGGTCCGGTAACTGCCACCCTGTCCCTTCCCCCACCAGTCCCGTCCCCCACCCACCAGCCCTACGCACCATCACACTCGTCGTTGACCAACTCTGCCCCCTCCACTCACCCAATCACTGCCGCACATCAACTCCGACCACCTTAACCACCCCCAGTCCATCCCTCACAGCCCCACCTTTGACAGCCCAACTCAGATCCGACCACCAACCAAAGAACCATAGCCGCCGCCCTCCCAGATCTGACCGTTTTCTGGTAGCCATTTCAGATTTGATACCCAGATTAAAGGAGGCGAGGCGAGATGGCGAGGCGAGGCTATGTGGCTTCCTGTGCGGCGAGATAGGCTGGGGAAGCTCTTTGGCGGCGACTATCGATTTGCAGACGAGAAGAAGAGAGAAGAAGAAGAAGAAGAGTGGCGGCGATGACGATGAGAAGTGCAGCGGCGGAGTTGTTGACGGCATCGTCGGTGTCTCATGGCGTCGGCGGCTCTATCTCACGGCATCGGAAGGGCTCTAATCTCCCATCTGGAGCTTCTGGAACGAAGATATGATGGTGAAGGCACTCTGGTCTGGAACGGGGATATGATGGTGAAGGCCAGGCTGGAGCATGTGCGGAGCAGTAAGTAATGGGCCTTTTATTTTTTAATCGCTTTTTTGTCTTTTTAGTAAACACTCATATTTTTGTCCCCTTCAACTCCAGGAGTAATACTTAGGCCATTATTTCATAATTATTTCCGTACTGATAAAAAATTGTCTGTGCCAAAAACAAAAGATTCCCTTAAACAAATGGAAAATTGTCTGTGTAAAATATTGTATACAACTTAGAAGTTGTTCTCTTCACTTGATCTGAATATTTCTGATCTGAATTTATTAAGTCTGATCTGATCTACAAATAGCATTTCTTAATTCTTTTTCCAAAGCAATGAAACGCAAATATTGGCAAGGCAATTTACTGTTGAGTTTAAATGGAGTAGATTTTTTAAATGGAGTAGACTTTAAACAAAACTACTGTAATAAATAGTATAATTAAAAATATTATTACTAAAAATATATGAATTTATATTTGTGTGCTCGCATTAATGTAAATATCTTATTGTTAGTAACTATTTAAAATAAACGTATAGTATACATAAATTTTAAAAATTTTTCCAAAACTTATTAAAAATAATAAGAAATAGAATTAATTTGAATATAGAAACTTTTAAATTCATTTTTTATGGTCATTTTAAGTTTTTTTATCGTAAGACGCTTATATCATTAAAATAGCATTCAGCAGGGGAACAAGAACGTGAAAGGACCACATGTAATCATCTGCCCTTGGCCGAGAATCTGAGTTAATCACCTTTGACAAAGCAATATAACTCGCTAGACCTAACTTGGGCAAATTAAAGCTAACGACGATTACCGTAAACCTCTCAACCTCAAAACCTAATGCAAGAGTTTTACAGCAGAAAAATGAGTAAAAAAAAACATAATAGTCTGACAGTGGAGTGAAACGAAAATAAATAAAATAAACTGACAAGACAACCGAATCCATGCTTCAAACAACATCCTCGGCGGTGGCTCAGGAGGGGGACGGATCATCAACCCTTCAAACATTCCTTGCATACCCACCACCACAATTCCACTGGCATCTTCTTAATCCCTATAATTATTGCCCGAATGAATCCGAAATCCATGCTTACCTTCCCAATCGAAACCAATGGTAAAAGAGAGGAGTCCATAACCCGAACAAAATCACGATCCAAATCTGCTTCTCCCGAAACGTCCGTCCCCAGCCCTTCCTAAACCTGATGGCGAGCAAGTAAGAGCGAAGCAGAGAGGGTAAATACCGATCTTCAATCGGCAAGATTGAAATCAGAAACACGACCTAGCAGCTCGTGGCGCAAGCCCTTGGAGCTGAGAAACGACCGAACTTCGACAAAGGAGATCGAAATCGGAAAGCAATGCCCTAGGAGCTCTCGATCCTATGGTTATTTTAATTTACTAATTGCAAATTTAAAGTTACTAACATTTTATTTCAAACCGCTAATGAAAGCGGTCAGTTAAAAAAGCTAAGGAATCCGCTAATATCAATCTGTTGATTCAATCGGTTATGAGCTAGCAGATAACTACTCATTATTATAAAAAACGGTCATTGACATTTTTAGACCTCCACTTTTGATGACAAAATCAAAGTAAAAGAACTGCAAATGTCAACTTCACAATACTTAGAATATGAAATATTGAGAATTCTAAAATCGAGGATCAAAAGTTTATCACTCACAAAAAATGGACCAATTTGTCACTAGGTCTTCTTTTTTTACCACTATGACTCAAGTGATTTTTTTACTAATCTGTGCAATGACCTTTTTTTTTCAATTTGGTAATTTGGCCCCAAAACACCGTGTGACTCTATCCTGTCATGCTATCTTGATTTCCACCAAAAGAGATCGAGTTAGGTTTCCTCTGTCATGAAGTAGTTGGGATTTGGTACAAAGCATGGGCTGCATGGCCCTTGCTTTTATTACAAATTTCCCATTTTGTGTACACAAAAGTTTAATCTATTTTATACTCCCTCCGTTCCCAATTAAATGTCTCATTTTACTATATTGGGATGTCTCTATTTAAATGTCTCATATCTCATTTGATAAAGTTTGTGTGGTTCAAAATCATTCTTACTTTATTCTTACTTTATTCCTACTTTATCAATTAATATCAACCACACAAACCCACTTTTCTTAAAACTCGTGTCACCCTCTTCAGGGATTTTTAAAAGGGATGGAGGGAGTACGTAAGTTGGGATCAGAGATAACTCACAACATGAAGTCCGATAGACTATGTGATAGCCGATACGGAGTATAAAACAAAATCATCATCCCCTAAAACTTAACATGAGGATAAACCATACTCCATAGTAGCTTAACCATCTCTTTTTTTTATCTTAACCATCTCTTCACCTATTTAATTTTGTACGGAGTATTATTTTATAAAGAGATATTATTCGAAATAGAACTAAAAGAGTTTGAAAATTCCAAAATAGGACTGTCATGTTTTTATTCCCAAAATAGGACTAATTACTGTCATGTTTTGGCAGTATCAGACTTCAAACATAGCAGTATTTTCCAAACATGACAGTAATTACTCCTATTTTGGAAATAAAAACATGACAGTCCTATTTTGGAATTTTCAAACTTTTTTAGTCCTATTTCGGGAACTTTCCCTTTTATAAATCTGAAAAATGAGTGGCTAAAATATTTTTGGAAAGTCCTTTAAGAATTCATTTGAATCAGATACAAACTACTCTCTCCGTCCCAATATTATCTTCATTCTTTCCTTTTTTTTCATCCGTCCCAATATAAACTTTTCTTTACTTTTTTTTTGCTAAGAATGTGTGATTCACAACATTTGTTCTCACTTTCTTAATCTGTGTCAAGTTTAATCAAGAGTTAATATTGGAGAGGAGTATTTTTTAACGCTATTGATGCTTTTAGCTAGTGCCTAGTAGGGCTGTTAACGAGCCGAGCCGAGCCCGAACACCTAAAGCTCGAGTTCAGCTCGATAAGGAATTAATGGTGTTCGGGTTCGAGCTCGAAGCTCGACGAGCTTTACAAATGAGGTTCGTGTTCGGCTCGATAGGCGTTCGATGTTCGAATCGAGCGCTCGATAAGCTCGATAAATATGGTCGAATTTAAAATTTTAGGTGATGCTCGTTAATAGGCTCGTGCTCGAATGATTCGATAAGTATTCGGTTCGTTAATAAACATATTTAAATTCATAAATTCATACTAATTATATTTAAATTTTGATTATATATAAATTATATTTATAATTTCTGGGTGTTCGATAGGCTCGAGTTCGAACCGAGCCGAATACTACTATGTTCGAGCTCGGCTCGATTAATTTTTCGAACTTAAAACTCAGCTCGGGTTCGAGTTCGAAAGCTCGTTAAGCTCGGCTCGTTAGGTTCGAAACCGAGCTCGAGCTCGAATAGTTCGATAAAAGCTCGGTTCGTTAATAGCCCTAGTGCCTAGCGACATCAAGAGTTTTGATAGTACTAACTACTAAAAGCACGTTTCTCAATCCAAAATCACCATGTACATTTCACAAGGACGTTAAACTTTTGTTTTCCCGTGAAAAAAACAGAGAGCATCAAAGCAATAGCCCTTGTCCCTGGTTTGTCTTCATATTTGACTTTTAACCATTTTTAATAAAGTAACAGTTGTTTAGTTAAGTTATTTAAGAAAGAGAAACAACATTTAGACCGAGAAAAAGAAATATGAGTAGACCAAAAAATAGGGACATGCATAACATTTGGAAATATGGAGTACAATTTTTTCCATAACGTTTGTTTTTCAAGATTCGGCTTTTCATTCTAACAAGTCAACAATGATTAAATAAAGGGAAAAGGTGCAAATAGGCCCATGTACTAATAAAAAAAGGTCAAATAAGCCCTTATTTAGGAGGCTTTGTCCGGTCGTCGCCATTTGGAGTGGTTCCCGGTTAAAATTTTTGATGAAATTTTTTGAGCATCTTATTCATCAAGTCTAGTTTACTCATACCAAATTTCAGCTAAAACTTCAATCGGTAAGGCATTCAAATGAATTCTTGAAGATAACTGCGTTTCTAATTGCGCAGTTATTTTCAAGAATTCATTGGAATGCCTTCCCGGTTGAAGTTTTAGCTGAAATTTGGTATGAGTAAACTAGACTTGATGAATAAGATGTTCAAAACATTTCATCAAAAAATTCCACCGGGAACCACCCCAAATGACGACGGCCGGACAGAACTTCCTAAATAAGGACTTATTTGACCTTTTTTGGTTAGTACATGAGCTTATTTGCACCTTTTCCCTTAAATAAAATCTAACAAGTCGACAGGGTATAAGCATTTTAATGTTATTTCTAGTTTGTATTTGACTGATATTGAATAGTTCATACTCTCAGTGGCGGAGCCAGAAAAATGGCCCAGGGGGTCGAAAATCAAATATATACACAATGAAAATGGTGGATTGCTTTTAAACAATGTCCGAGTTGAGTGTTTTATATGTAGTTTAGATAAATAGACACTCGTAGCAATAATATAAATCGCTTTTGCTCTATTTCTGAGTCATGTCACGTAAGTAATGAGTTAATTATACTCTAGCTATTTCTAAAATTTGTGAAAATAATCCATAATACGCATCAAATTTTGTTGATTTTACGTTTAGATAGTGCCGATTTTCCAGAAGTCATAACTTTTTACTCGTAATGAGTTACGAGGGCCATAATATATCAAATCGAATATATTTTAGAGCTCTATACTCTCAAAGTTTAAGCGGGGTCGACTGACCACCCTAACCCTCCCTTGGATCCGCCCCTGCATACTCTGTATTATTTACATTAATGAAAAAGCATAAAAAACTATAATAAAAAATATGACCTCCGTTGCATTGGATTTTGTCAACCTCATATTGAGTGTGAAATACTATCCTCCGTTTCTTTTTAATCGCAACATGTTGAATTTTACACTATTCACAGACTCTACTTTGACTACATTTTACACTATTATTTTATGATAATTATTTTTTTTAAAAATTTTGTTCAATTCATCTCATTACAAATTTTCAAAAAGTGTTTTTAATTATTTTTTAAAAATAGAGAATAAGATATATTTACGGTCAAACAAACAAAATAAAATGAAAGTTGACACAACCAAACAAAATAAAGAGGAGAGAAAAATAAAGAGGACACAAATTCATCACTTTAAAAGAAAGTTGTCGATGTTTTTAGAACAAACAAACAAAATAAAATGAAAACAATAAAATATGTGGTTGGTA